AGACCATGTTTGGCCGGAAGTGCGATTGGGCGTATGTTTGCTTGCATTAGCCGCGCGTTTGCAGTCTTTTCGTGGTTTCAAGCGTCTAAACATGTGATATTATGATGTTGGTCCCATGCATTATGGTCGGTGTCAAGATCACTTGAAGGTCAGGTGAATTTAATGACCTTTGATGACCTCGGTTCACCTTTTTTAGTTTTACATGCTTCCAGGCTAGTTTTTGGAGCTGATTTCGAATTTAGTAACCATTTGAACATTTAGGAATAAGTTTTGGTGCCTTCGTAACATGCAACGAAGCTGTCACTGGCGGTTGACACCGATTAATTATGAATACCCGGCAGGACTTGTTGGCCTGACCTGACCTGACCCGACCTACGTTCGCGGCTAGCAAAACACCAATACGTGCGAGGGTTAATGACATGAAGGTGCTTATGGTGTAAGTCTTTGTTTTTACTCCCATTGCTGAGGTTCAGTCCTATCGGTGCGTGTATTTCAGCAACCATCTACCGATTCATGTGCTTCACCAGGAACATTCACACAGAAACATAATTAGATGTTGATGTTTTTTTCAAGCAAACTTAGGACAATCATAAGAATTTACCAGAGAAATGATGGGAATTTCGTAAACGATTCCTCCTCCTAACATGCCCATCATTGCTGGGACCCACAATTTTATGCCTCTTATTTGCGGTTAAATTCCAGGATTTCGTAATCAGAGTCGGAGTCGTTCGGAGTCAACAGTTCTGACCCTGCAGTCAGAGTCGGAATCGGAATCGATTTTGGAATCCGGACCAAGACTCGTAGTCTGAGTCACCGAAAATCCATCGACTGCGTGGACTTGCTGCGGCTGCGGAGTCAGAGTCCGAGTCGATCGTATAAGTCGACAGTTATGCCCGGAGTCAGAGTTGAAATTGACCTTTGAAAGCCGTAGTCGGAGTCGGAGTAACTCCATCGACTTCACAGCCCTGGCCTGGTAAGCACATCACCCGTCGTAAGCTAGTTCTCCTTACTTTTAGAGGCGGAACTATGCCATTACATATATGTCTGCAAGCATTTATAATGCATCGGAATGGTTTTTCGCGAATAACTCGCGTAAAAAGCGGCCGATCGTGACGAAACTTTCAGTACCCTCGCATTGATCAATTTTACACCGACCCTGGAAATTTCATGACCCTCACCCAAATGACCTTTGACCTGTGACCTCTTTTCCGAGACCATGTTTGGCCGGAATCGCGATTCCGCGTATGTCGGCACGCATTAGCCGCGCGTTTGCAAGCTTTTCGTGGTTTCAAACGTTCAAACATGTGATTTGATGTTACTCCCATGCATTAGGGTGGGTGTCAAGGTCACCTGAAGGTCAGGTCAGGTCATTGACCTTTGGTGACCTCGGGTGACCTCGGTTCACTTTTTCGAGTTTTACATGTTTCTAGGCTAGTTTTTGGAGCTGAATTCGAATTTAGCAACCATTTGAACATTTACGAAGCAGTTTTGGTGCCTTCGTAACATGTTACGAAGCTGTCAGAGGCGGTTGACACGTCACGACGCCTACTGGTTGACCTGACCTGACCTGACCCAACCTGGTCTAAATGCTTAAAGACATCATCTGTGATCAAAACTAACACGATATTCGTGATCAGCACCCCGAAAAACCCCTTAGCAGCCACACTTTACGACTTTCTAATAGGTCCCGATTTTCCCGACTTTGGGTCATTGACCTGACCTGGAAGGTCAACCAATGACCTAGGACCTTAAAATTGGGTATCATCGGCTTCCTCTCGTCACGGGCAACACGCTCGTTTTTTCCGCGAAGCTCTAGCTCGATCAGGGGCCAAACGGCAAGGGGGGGTCCAACCGACCCCCCCCCCCCCTCCACATTAGAAGCTGGCAAACGCCGCACACATGCGAGTCAATTTTGAAACCAGGGAACAATTTTCAACGGATCCGAGCAGCGCTGGGATTTAATTCGCGCTAAACTGGTGTTTGGCCACACTGTGCGCTGCCTGGGGCTCAGTGACCTTGAACTCGGCAGCGCTACCCGGAGAGTGTCCTACTGTGTGTCCTCCCACTTGGTGCGCATCGCTTGTGATTAACCTCTGTAGGCGGCACTTACAATGATGCTTACGCATCGTCACTGGTGTGAGTTCGATGTCAGGCATTTTGCAAACTGCCCGGGAAAATAATTTCAGGCAGTTTGCAAAATGCCTGGTGGGCCAGGCAGTTTGCAAACTGCCCAGGCATTTTGCAAAATGCCTGGCGGGTCAGTCATTTTGCAAATTGCCTAGGCATTTTGCAAAATGACTAGCCGGTCAGGCATTTTGCAAATTGCCTAGGCATTTTGCAAAATGCCTGGTTTTTCACTTTGCCTGTAACATATATATATATATATATATATATATATATATATATATATATATATATATATATATATATATATATATATATATATATATATATATATATATATATATATATATATATATATATATATATATATATATATATTTCATTGAAGACGACAGCATGTTTTGTGTTGTTTAACTTTTTTGTTTCGTTTTCCAAACGCCGAATGACAATACGCTGTTCTGGAGAAACTTGAAATAAGAGTTGCCCAAAATTAGCAATGATGAAAATGTTCAGAACCAATTGTAAAATAACTTTGCGTTCATTTGATGTTATAGGGCGAAATTCGAGTCACATGATCGTTTTATTGAAAATTAATAAAGCTTTCGGTCTACATTGACCATCATCAGTAATTACACAGTTTTCCAGTTCCATATCTTATCTAAGTGGCTAATGAAGTGCCACCTTTAATCGTCTTTTTTATAGCCGATTAATTATTGTGTGTAATTAAACATCTTCTCTCGTTATGCGAAACAATTTGGAAAACATATCAACACTTCAGCTCACCAATGTAGTTTACCGTTTCAAATGCTCTACCGGGGACTGTGCAACCCGCAACGTAAGCTACATTGGATACACCACCACCACTCTCAGCCGACGACTGACGATGCACCTACAAGACGGTGGACCAAAAACACACTTACGAACCGAACATGACATGAGACTGACAAGGGACATCCTGACTGCCAACACCACAATTCTAACACGGCAGCACGACAAACGCAGACTTGCAATGACTGAAGCCATTTACATTCGTGACTCAGCCCCGATTATCAACACCCAGACTAAGACCGTGACAAGCCTCCCTCTCTTTGACAGACAAATTACTTCTGTAGTTTAAAAAACATGTGAAATAGTGACACTTGAATCTATGTATATTGTATGCTATGTATGCATATTGTATGCCATATGTATATGTACGTATATTGTATCCTATGTTCAAATGTCATGCATTTTAATGAGGGAAAGAATGACGTGTATCCAAGAAAGTGGTGCCGTATGTACGAAATAGCGTGTTTTATCGTTTGTGTCATTATGCTAGAGAAGAAAAAGGCATCAAACTGTGTAATTACTGATGATGGTCAATGTAGACCGAAAGCTTTATTAATTTTCAATAAAACGATCATGTGACTCGAATTTCGCCCTATAACATCAAATGAACGCGAAAGTTATTTTACAATTGGTTCTGAACATTTTCATCATTGCTAATTTTGGGCAACTCTTATTTCAAGTTTCTCCAGAACCATGGGTGGAGAATGTTTGAAAAAGTTACCCCGGCCGGCGACCGATAGTCGCGGGAAGACGATATACTCACGTTGTTCTCAACGGTCATCATCAAACCCCTATTCTGACGCATGGAATAGGGTGCTGTGCTCAAGGATGAGCGTTGTATCCGACACCGTATTATTCATAACATTTTTGGAATGATCGAAAAGGCAATTTCCTTTTAAATTATTATTTCTTTTTACTTAAACTTCCAATTTCACACCGAACCCAAACCAAACCATATGCCATTTTGAGTACCTAAATGTTGCGTTTTCAGCTTTTTATTGTGTCTCAAAATAGCTACAAAAAGACAACTCACCATAGTAGAAGCTTTACAGAGAAATTGACAGATCGAACCAAGCAAAGCACTAAAATAGGTCACTGACATCCACGGGCGTAGCCTTTTTCAATGTTGGGCGGCTCTTATAATACAAACAGGGAGTCGATCCAGGAATATCGACCGGTCCCGGTCTCGTAGCTCAGTTGCTAGAGCGTTGGATTCCGCGTGGCGAGAGCACGCGGCCCGGTTACAACAGTCCGAGTTCGAAGCATGATGGCCGCTCGGTGTTTATGAGCACCCTGACGGGTACGCTCATAAACGGGTGTGGTTGCGGTTGGTGGCAGGTCAGTTGGAGGCAATGAGGTCAAGCAGTAGTTTTGAAAAAGTGCGCCGAAGGCGCGCCAAAATTTCGAAACTGAACAGGATTTGAGAGCAATCTTGGCATTGGCGACCACACGCGGGTCTTAGGGTTGGAGATTATGGCAAGTTAAGTAAATGGTAAATACCTACCTGATTTGCAATATTACGCCCATGGAAGTCAACATTCGAAGAGCGTGAGTTTTCTTTTCTCGTATGGAGACAGCTTTTAGGATTTACAAGAGTAGAAAAGTTACCCCGGCCGCGCCGGGGTAGGCTGAAAGTTACCCCGGCCACGGCCGGGGTGGCCGGGGCAGGTTCTCCACCCATGTCCAGAACAGCGTATTGTCATTCGGCGTTTGGAAAACGAAACAAAAAAGTTAAACAACACAAAACATGCTGTCGTCTTCAATGAAATATGTATCAAGGAAAACCTGCTTCCAAAGTATTCAAATATATATATATATATATATATATATATATATATATATATATATATATATAATATATATATATATATATATATATATATAATATATATATATATATATATATATATAATATATATATATATATATATATATATATATATATATATATATGCTGTGGTTGTAGTTGTATTTGTTTGTCGAAATGCAGAAATGTGCCATGACTTGTTGCTCAGCCTGTAGTGCTGCCGTTACCGGCTACCGCTGGGCTCACCTGAGCATGGCTTCCCGGACGCGCGGGCCGTCCGTAGTCGAGTGCACAACGTCGTCCAGCTGCATCATAATGTCGGCGCCGATGGCGTTCTGGATCTCCATCGAGTGCTCCGGCGTCAGCATACATTCAGAGCCTGCAGCGACGACCGACCCGGGCGTCAGCATACAGCCCTCAGGCCTCCTTTCACTGCCTGCTCGGTCACTGCGTCACTACGTATGCTTGTTTCAGCAAAACCGGCCAATATCTCGAAGGCTCTGCTATCGAGCGCGCGGAAGTCCTAACGGAGGGACGCGCGTCGCGCAATACCACACGACTCTATTGGACCCCTTGTTGCATTTGAACACGACCACACGACTTTATTTGTTCACAAAAGTCTATTTTCCGCCCCTGTGACTAAGTTTTTGTTTGCCCCTCACCTCTCTCCCTCCTAGAGCCGTCCCTGCCATGTCTTCAATAAGCTCAGCCGACAACCGCGGATATGACGGGAGTGATAGAGCGAGTAGGGTGCGTAAACAGGCATGAATAGGTGACCATCGCAGCTCAGGCTAACCCATTCGGCGGGTCACTCGGCCGGCGCTGTGGGTCAGGGAGGTGAACGTGGGCCGGGGTCACTCGGATCAATAGCCCAAAGCTATGTCTCGGAGACAGTCTGGCCCGACCCAATTAGCCATTTTTATGATTGCTACAGGAGCATCTTGCTATCTCAAAAATACCAAGTGGATTTTCAAAATTCCAAAAAGGTCATCGATAGCGGTTATAGATTTACCAAGTGACCCAATTACATTGACCTCGGTCCCTCCGATGGAGTTACAGGTCATCGCAAAGTAACTGTTAAACACTTTCCAGAGCTACAAACAAATGGAATATGCCGGCGCAAAGGCCAATTTATAATTTTCTCTCAATCACGAATTTTTTGGCTTGAGCTATGTATTGCTACGTGAAGTCACTGCCATTAGGTCAGGACAAAGTTGCAAAAAAGTGACTTGAGGTTGGGTAATTCAAAGTGACCTGGTGACCTGACCTTAAAAGTTAGGAGTTTCAATCTTGCACACCATATGTGAAATTGATGTGAGAATAGTCGTACCAAATTTCGCGGCGCTATCTACGAAAAACCTCAGGGGGCGGATATCCTCCCCCCCCCCCCGTCGGTGCGCGGGTTAACCCGGCAGTTGCTGGGGTATTTCGCCACCCACCGTTTGCTGGGGGGAGGGGGGCGTTAAACGCCCCCAGCCGATAACTCGAGAACGAATAGGCGCAGCGAAACGCACGAGGCGGCAAACGAAAGAACGCGACGAGACGCTTCAGATGAGTACTTTAAATTTGAATTTTGAGGTCACAGGTCGGGTCAAGGTCAGGTCAAACACCTGAAATCGGGCTTTCAGTAGCATGGACTTCAGGACTTCGCAATGGGCGCCTCTCGTCATAAACTCTGTCAAAACGGTGTACAATCCATCATATAAGGCCTACAAGAGTGTCAGCTCCATGTAGGGGTCAGTCAAGCATAGGTCAGGGTCAAGGTCAGGTCAACCGGGTAGGCACATATCCCCGAAAATCAAAACTGATATTCGCAGCCTGTGACACATGTTTTATGGGTAATTTGAAGCGTAGAACACGATGGTGACATTCATTTTATCATATGTGTACGTGTTTGGCTCAAAAAGTTCAATTTCAGAAATGCATGTATCATGGACGTGAAGTAGTCACGAGAAATTGCCAAGATTCAGTTCAAGATTTAGGAAAATGCGGAACGATAATCAATAATCCAAGATAGCCATTTGATTGTTCATGGTATTGGCAGTCTAATGGCGTTTACGGCATGTCTGCATGTCTATTCTGTGATTTTATATGATTTTTTGAACATATGCCGATTTTGGTCGAAAACTCAGAAATCATGACGTCACTAAAATCTCGATATCTCAAAAAAATTCCGACCAATTTTTTGAAACTTTGTCACAATAAACTTCAATCAATTCCCTACAGGTACCCAAAATTTGGCGCGCCTGCTGCGCGCCGTTTTTATGCTATGGCCCGGCGAAAAAAGTGGGGGCGTTTAACGCCCCCCCCCCCCTGCAGCAACTCGCGGGTTAACCCGCGCCCTGGTGGGGTCTGTTTATAACGCGACCTGGTGGGGGGGGGGCTATTTTTTGCCCCCCCCCCCCTCGTATCTCCGAAACTACTGGACGGATCCGCAAAATTCAAACGGCGTTCGATAGCCCTGTCAAATTTGTCGAAGGAAACCAAATTTCATTGACCTCGGGGTCACCGATGACGTCACAGGTCAGGTCAAAGATAAAATGTTTCACCGTTCACGGGGCTTCTAGGGAAAGCGCTATAACACCGAGTAAAACGCATTTTGTCGAAAATCAGCGATAAGACGTCAGTTGTCTAGTACATATGTTGCTATTAACCCGCGCCCGGCTGGGGGTCCTGGATTTCCACGCCCTGCTGGGGGGGGGGGGTGTTTGAACACCCCCCCTTGTAACTCGGCTCCTGGGCCACGTAGCGATACGCGGAAGGCGGCGTTCGAAAGAGCGTCAAAAATAATGACGAAATCACTTCGGTCAATTTTTTGGTCAGGTCAAAGGTCAGGTCACCAGAGGTCATGGAAGGCAAAATTTCGCCGATTTCCAGGTCGAATGTCGAAAATTTCCAAGAAGCCAACGCATAACTCGGGAACCAATAGAGCTACAGCGCCGCGGAAAAGCGCATTCGATAGCCCTATTAACGCCCTTTCTGAGTAATTCTCTCAGATTTGACCTAACTTCAACGGTTTTGCCTGCAGGGGGCAAAAACTGCAAAAATAGCCGATTTTTTCGGAATCAGTTTTTCTGCAATAACTTTTGACCCAAGACCTGTACGAGCTTACTTTTACCGTCATCGTGTTCCTCTCGTCAAGACGCATCGAATGAACTATAACTTGACCTTGAAAGGTCAACTTGAAAATTTGACCTCAGGTCAAGGTCATGACCTGACCGGAAAGGGTCATGTTGCATATCAGTCGATCCGTATCGTCGAGCTGAACACATCTAAGGCGTTTTCATCGCTCTAGCATGCCTCTATCAAAAGTTATTTGCGAAAAACTGTTAGATACCATTCGTGACCTAAGATGACCTCAGGGCATAAACAAGGGTCACGGACGCCATTTTCATGTTCAGTGTGTCTAAACCACTTGTAATTCGGTGTTTGGGAGTGTTTATAATGTCTTTCGTCCAAAAGAGGCGCATTTCAATTTTCTCCCATTGACTTATAATGGGGAGGTCGCAAAATTGACCTGACCTTAGGTCATCGATATCAAAATTCTGAGATATACATTTTGTACATGCTATTGCTCTTAGCAATCGCTGAAAGTTTCAAAGCGATCGGTCACTCGGTGTAGCTATGACAGACATTGAAACTTTTTATGAGGTGAGGTCACTTCAAGTGACCTGGTGACCTGACCTTGAATGACCTTGGTCTGAAATTTTCACAACATGTGTAGAATTGATGTATGATAAGGTGTACCAAAAACGGCGGCGCTCCGCGCCGCCGTTTTTGAGATATTCGCGAAAAACCACAAGGGGGGGTGTTCAAACACCCCCCCCCAGCTGGGCGCGGGTTAAAGGTCACTGGTCATACCAGGTCAGGTCACAGGTCAGGTCACCAAAGGTCACCAAGGGTCACCACATGAACCCAACTTTACTAAGGTTGTGCGATGCATGTTTTATGGCCAGTTTTTCATTTCCAACCCAATGGTGTTGGTTATAAGACCATCAGGTACGGTTTAGGTCACTTTCTGGTGGAGGTCAGGTCAAGGTCAGGTCAAAAAAGGTCAAATTTCAAAGTTGATATTTTTGCATAAAATGGGTATTGATTCGATGCAGCTCGTCACGGGGAGTCTAATGGTGGTCTTTGTTTTGCACTACGAGGTCTAGAATTGCTAAAAATTGAGTTTGAAAATTTGACGTCATCAATTTTGAACAGTTTTTTCGCTATAACTTCGCCAAAAAAGAGGTATCAATCTAAAATTTGGTATGTGGATGGAAGGCGGTAAGGACTATCACATATATTCCGGTTTTTGCGAAATTCAAAAAACTTTTTGGATTTTTTGACTTTTATATCCCAAAAATCTATTTTTTTTTATTTTTGGGGGTCAAAATAAAAAAATTCAAAAATCCGAGATAGCAGTTTTGTAGCCCTGTCAATTCTACAGCTTTTATGTCCTAAACATTTTTCTGTATTTGCAAAGCTATAGGCCTGACAGCTCTTCCCGCGAAACCCTTTTTTGGGTCGAAAACGGCAGAACATGACGTCACTATGACGTCATTTCCGGCCAACCTATCATAGCTTTTGGAAAAAAATTTTGGTCACAATGTGTAAAATTGATGTACAGGAGGGTACTGAAAGTTTGGTGACGATCGGCGCAGCGGTTCTGGAGATATATCGAAAAGTCTGGAGGGGGGGGCAAAAAATAGCCCCCCCCCACCAGGTCGCGGGTTAACCCGCGAGTTGCTGGGGGGGGGGCGTTAAACGCCCCCAATTTTTTTCGCCGGGCCATAGCATAAAAACGGCGCGCCGCAGGCGCACCAAATTTTGGGTACCTGTAGAGAATTGATTGAAGTTTATTGTGACAAAGTTTCAAAAAAATCGGTCGGAAAATTTTTGAGATATCGAGGTTTTAGTGACGTCATGATTTCTGAGTTTTCGACCAAAAACGGCATATGTTCAAAAAATCATATAAAATCACAGAATAGACATACAGACATGCCGTAAACGCCATAAGACTGCCAATACCATGATCAATCAAATGGCTATCTTCAATTATTGATTATCGTTCCGCATTTTCCAAAATCTTGAACTGAATCTTGGCAATTTTTCGTGACCATGATACATGAATTTCTTAAATTGAACTTTTTGAGCCAAACACGTACACATATGATAAAATGAATGTCACCATCGTGTTCTACGCCCCAAATTACCTATAAAACATGTGTCACAGGCTGCGAATATCAGTTTTGATTTTCGGGGATATGTGCCTACCCGGTTGACCTGACCTTGACCCTGACCTATGCTTGACTGACCCCTATATGGGGCTGACACTCTTGTACGCCTTATAAGATGGATTATGCACCGTTTTGACAGAGTTTATGGCGACAGGCGCCCATTGCGAAGTCCTGAAGTCCATGCTACTGAAAGCCCGATTTCAGGTGTTTGACCTGACCTTGACCCGACCTGTGACCTCAAAATTCAACTTTAAAGTACTCATCTGAAACGTCTCGTCGCGCTCTTTCGTTTGCCGCCTCGTGCGTTTCGCTGCGCCTATTGGTTCTCGAGTTATCGGCTGGGGGCGTTTAACGCCCCCCCCCCAGCAAACGGTGGGTGGCGAAATACCCCAGCAACTGCCGGGTTAAAGAGTGCCTGATGACGCCCAGTGCGGCGAAACAGGGCCTCTGACCTGCTTTCGAGCATTTTCTTCTCGGTAATACGCATGCTTTCTGGGAAACGGTTAACCGCTGCAATTAGTGACCTCAAGAGTATTTGAGAGGCGCTCTTTTGGGCCTTCACAACCTGTTTTATTGGCAGTCTATAAAGTTCTGTCAACGTATCGGCGTATATTGCTCCCCAGACCATCCCCATTGCTTAGTTCCTCACAGCATGGACGGAAGACACTTAATAGCATTATTTGTTCTAAATACCACTGGATTAACCAGTGTGGTTAATGCTGGTATTTGAATACGGATTCATTATTCCAAATAGCTTATTTTTATTCATAAAAAGTCTACGTTTACCTATTTTGCGAAGCCTGCTATCTGCAAATCCTGCTGATTTTCTGTTACTTTTGGTTGATGGAACCATATGTGCAGTTCCAAAATCAATAAATATCATAAAACCTGTATGTGTATAGCTTTAACCCGTGACCTGGTGGGGGGGGGGCAATTTTTTGCCCCCACCCCCTCCAGACTTTTCGATATATCTCCAGAACCGCTGCGCCGATCGTCACCAAACTTTCAGTACCCTCCCGGACACCAATTTTACACATTGTGACCAATTTTTTTAAGGCTATGATAGGTTGGCCGGAAATGACGTCAGAGTGACGTCATGTTCTGCCGTTTTCGACCCAAAAAAGGGTTTTGCGGGAAGAGCAGTGTCAGGCCTATAGCTTTGCAAATACAGAAAAATGATAAAAAACATAAAAGCTGTAGAATTGACAGGGCTACAAAACTGCAATCACGAATTTTTGAAATTTTTGGATTTTGACCCCCAAAAATCAAAAACTAGATTTTTTGGATATAATAGTCGGAAAATCCAATAAGTTTTTTGAATTTCGCAAAAACCGGAATATATGTGATAGTCCTTACCGACTTCCATCCACATACCAATTTTTAGATTGATACCTCTTTTTTGGCGAAGTTATAGCGAAAAAAACTGTTCAAAATTGATGACGTCAAATTTTCAAACTCAATTTTTAGCAATTCTAGACCCCGTAGCGCAAAACAAAGACCACCATTAGACTCCCCGTGACGAGCTGCATCGAATCAATACCCATTTTATGCAAAACTATCAACTTTAAATTTGACCTTTTTTGGCCTGACCTTGACCTGACCTTGACCTGACCTTCACCAGAAAGTGACCTAAGCCGTACCTGATAGTCTTATAACCAACACCATTGAGTTGGAGACGAAAAATTGGCCATAAAACATGCATCACACAACCTTAGTAAAGTTGTGTTCATGTGACCTGACCTGTGACCCTTGGTAACCTGACCTTGGACCTGACCTGGTATTGTCAATGACGTCTAATAGCAACATATCTACTAGGCAACTGACGCCCTATCGCTGATTCTCGACAAAATGCGTTTTCCTCGGTGTTATAGCGCATTCCCTAGAAGACCCGTGAACGGTGAAACATTTCATCTTTGACCTGACCTGTGACGTCATCGGTGACTCCGAGGTCAATGAAATTTGGTTTCCTTCGACAAATTTGACAGGCCTTTCGAACGACGTTTAAATTTTGAGGATCCGTCCAGTAGTTTCGGAGATACGAGGGGGGCAAAAAATAGCCCCCCCCCTCACCAGGTCGCGTTATAAACAGACCCCACTAGGGCGCGGGTTAATGCTTGTGATCCCTTTCCTGATAATCGCGTTATAAATTTTTGCACACTGTGTCCCCGCTTGCCCTTGGCCCCCAAACTAACGATTTTCACGATATTCACCACCACAGATGGCCGGCCGGACCACCATTTTCTTTTCAAGTTTAATTGTGCAAGAATATAGTTTCCACCAATAATAACTGTCGTTCGGGGTACACCAAACATCTTTGCAACTAACCTCTTTCTCTTACCACCCTCAATTGACCCATTTCCACGTAGTCAGCATACTTCTCCAGATGTGACCTTCCTCGGCACCTTCATGCTTACGATTAAAAATGGGTGTGGGATCGACCACCCTGGACCGCCTCTCAAATAGCCTAGGGCGTTGAAAAGGGTTGCCTCTGATACATACGAGACATACTAAGCATCATGGCAATAGCATCATCATGTTTCTCGACGTTCTCAAAGTGGTAGTAATGGCCAATAATGAAAAAAAATAGGTGTTAAGAAACTTTTGGGACACCCTGCACACGTATCGCTCAAATGCTGATGTCAGTGGAAGGCCCAACTCATTTTCTAGCGAAAAAAAGAGAGCAGCAATATGCTAAGAAATGGCCGGTTTTGAAGATATAGACGATTTAAAAAAACCCTCTGCAGTAGGTAGCAGGAAAGCAACTCAAAAACGCATCGAGCTTATATTTTTACTTTGAATAATTTTTTTCAGTAAGTTTTTAGATAAGGTATCGATTATCAACAACTTTATTACAAGATTGTTTATTATTTGTAACCTTATTGGCTTATTTAAAAAAAAAAATTCAAAAATGGCAGCTGTTGGCAAGTAGCTTGGAAGCGATTGTGGCGCACCGCGCCATTATTGTCCTGAGGCCCCCTTAGGATGTCATCAAAAGTGGAGTGACATGGGCCTGGTCACACCAGTCCGCGCCACCAGGCTCTACCCGCTGTCGTGTTCTCGGAAGGACGATCTGATCTCAATTACACACTCCAATAGATTACACAGATCTATCACAGGCCGTCCGTTGAACCGACACCCCTACCTATGATGGCAAATGACAAAACCATCACAGGTTTGCATAAATTCCACTACTTTCAATGTTGTTGGGCATTATTTGGCATGATATCTATTCTACAGGTTAGACCGCTCATCAGAATGTAGGCTCAAGAGTTTGAACATTTTACCAAAAATGAATCAAAACGGAAAAAAATTGGAGTCGCGCCGGATGGTAAAACTGCCCACTGTGCTGTGGTTGGGCGCGGCGGTGGCCGCTGGCGCGCCTGTCTCACCGTCGTATGGTGAGCGGAAGCGGACGCCCTGCTCGGTGATCTCGGCCAGCTCGAGCAGCGATACCATCTGGAAGCCGCCCGAGTCGGTGAGCAGCGCGCGCCGCCAGCCCATGAAGCGGTGCAGTCCGCCGAGCCGGCGCAGCACGCCGGCGCCCTGCCGACACACCGCCGCACAACCGGCGAGCTTCATACATCTATACAGCCACACAAAGTACGTCAACGTGACAACAACACTCAGCCAACAGCCAATCACCACACCGGTGCTCATGACGAAAAAGGTGACTGCAGTTATTCCCTAGGACGTTTCATGAACTTTTTAATTATGAAGGGGTTCCTCTCAGTTTTTGCTAGGTCTTAGGCCATTTTTGTATTGCAATTTTCTTTCCATGACCGTTGGCTATGTCATAGCGCAAATAACCATGACATTTCTAAGTACCTTACCGGTGTCAAAAAGGACGCCACTACATGGCACGGACGGATCCCTGCTCGCAGGGACGCCGGAACTAGTTTGAAGTTGTGGGGGCAAGGTTCATGGCTGTGGCGGAGACCGATTCCGGGAACAAAACCAAGGTACCCTAAATTACATTTTCTCTTCGGATTTAGGCCACTTCATTTCGCGAAATGTCGAATAACGTTATCATATAAATTTGAAAAAACGTTAAAAATATTAAAATTACTGCGGACTTCACCTCTGCGCCCTCGAAGGGGGGCATTCAAATGCATTAGTCCTTTAAAATTCGAAAACTGCAGACTTTGAAATTTAATATTTCCGAATTAAAACAGTTCTCGTTGTGAGTACCCAAATCGGTAATTGCAGCTAGGGACCCCAATTTGGCTATCTAAACTCAAAACTAATGTTAGGTGGGATGGTCACTTTAATGGAAATGAGAGGAATGCCACCATATCAGACTTCAGAGCTACCAAATATGAATTTTTACGCTAAGTTAATTTCGTCGGACCACCCACAGTGGCTCACCTATTTTTGCCTTCAATCCATTTTATCCAACCGCGGAGGGAGGGCAACTTGGGTCCTCAAAACCAAACTACCCCATTTCTTATTAGTTCGCATTTGGGCCACTTCGTTTTAAAAATTACCACCTACATTTTAAAGCTTAAACAAAAACGAAATATTTAGTGAACATATTCAGTAAAGTTGTGGGGGCGGCGTCGCCCGCACGCCTTCAAGTTGTGGGGGCGGCTTGCCCCCATTGCCCCCACGGTTCCCGCGTCCATGCCTGCTGGTGGCGGCGTATGGTCATCTTAGGCCCATGTAGGCTCATGAGGGCCCGGCATAGGCCTACCATAGGCCTATCATGGGCGAATAAAAGATAGATGTTAGAATAGATAGATAACACAATAAATAGCGTTTCCTAATGATCCAAACCGAAATAAGCGAATCGAAATACCCCTACCAATAGCAAACCAAATTCAATGATTCCTTATAAGTTGTATAAGATAAACGCCACAAGTTTTCACGGTATTTAAGCATGTAAATGCCAAGTATATTACCAAGTTTTCAGTACATTAGCAAGTTTTAAGCACACTATCAAGTAGAAGGTGATACAGCAATCTGGCAGGTATTTTGGCAAGTTCAACAAGTTTTTCGCAAATATCTAAGCTTCTAGACGTCCGATCAACACGAGACAAACACCAATCGATCTCAAATTTTATGGGCAATCATGTGAGCGACAGCGAACAAGTAATATATTGTGATTATTTAGTTATTCATTTGAGTAGGATTGCGATTTTTTTAAGCGTTCAGTTTTTGCAGCGATCTTTTTCTATAGGGCCTGCGAGATATCTGCGTGCAAACATATCTCTTCAGCATTAGACGAACACAAAGAATGCGGCTGAGTTCACGTGCGTTTGTGAGCGAGGTGCTTCTATCCAGGAAAAATTCGCCGTCCCTATATGCTTAACCCGCGACCCGTTGGGAGGGGGGCCCAAAGGCCCCCCTGTGGTTTTTCGGAAATAACTCAGAAACGGCTGCGAATTTCGACTTGAAACTTTCAGTACCTCTCCGAACATCAATTTTACACAACTCCGGAAAAAATTAGGTCCCAGATCATCTAAGGTCACGAGCAATAGAGGTCAAACTGAGGTCATGTCCGGCGATTTTTCGTCGAAAAAGTTGTTGACGGAGAAAAATCGCAGAAAACCAGGGTTTCAACTTAACGACTGAAAAATTGGACCGTAGGTATAAAAAAGCATGGCAAACAAAATGGCTATCTCGAAATTTCCAAAATATAAAAATCGCTAGATCTAGGGATTTTCTAATTCCAAATTTAGATTTCTTAAGATATTTTTGAAATTTGGGGAAATTTTCAAAAGACCGGAATATATGTTAGAGAACCCTTACTGGCCTTACACGTGCCAAAAATTAACAAAATATATCAAAAACTGCCTAAGATATAGTCATTTGAATGACTGAAAAAGTAGCGACTGTCCTAATGAGTATGACGCAGGGTTGTATACGACTCAGAAACGAGTCATAAATCGACTCAAGAATCAGTCGATTTTCTTCGAGTCAGGAATCAAATTGAATCAAACACTATAAAAGCCGAATGAGTTTGGGTCGAGTAGAGTCACATGTGTATAGGCAGTTTCAGTCAAAAAATGAATCGATTCAAGGAAACGCGAGTCATCCCTTTGTTGATTCGATTCAAGCAGGGGTGTCGTTTTCCGAAAATGATTGGCAGGGCTCAAAGGCGGCGGCCGGCCATGTATGACGGGGCTTACAAGGTAGGGTACCCCAAATCTGTTTTTCTCATCGGATTTCGGCTACTTATTTTTCGCCCTGGTCATTGACAAGACAAACCAAAATCTAAAAAAACAATTTGGAAGTCTAGGTCCACACCGAGCCCCATGCACAAAACGTGCTGTTATATCTAGTGGCAATAGTGGCAATAGTGTCGGAGGAATGCACGCCATTCTGAAAGAGGCCCACGCCGACTTAAAAGGACGGCTGTGCTGAAAGGGGCCAGGGACAGCTTTGAGGGCTCAAGCCGACTAAAAAAGACGGCTGCAGGGCCAGGAACGGCTTTGAAGACCCACGCCGATTGAAGGGTTCGACAACCAACGAGGTCTCGAAACACCATGATAGTTAGAAAGACCTGCTTGCCAAAATAAAAGGATGACAGTACGAGGGGCGTCCAGAAAGTTACGGGCCGGACCATGAAGGAGCATAGAGATACAGCATCGACTCATTAGACCAAAAAGTTCCTTTATTCAAATTTCAAATAACCACCGTTAAGACAAACACATTTCGCACAGTGCTTCGCGAGAGCCCTCAAGGTCTCCATAACCAAGTGGTTTTAGACTCAGGCATCCTGTACGTCCAAGATGGCTGATTTCGTCTCCCTGCGTCTCCCTGCGAAGTTGCCACTGCTAATTTCCTTATGTTGGGGAAGAGGTGGCAACCAGAGTGTGCAAGGTTCGGAGAAAAAAGTATATGCGACAACAACTCGAAGCCACAGCTCACCGCTTCACTGATCGTCACCCCGCCCATGTACGCAGGTGCGTGGTCGTGGATCAGGTGCACACTTTATGTCACCTTCCCTATAGCCTCTCCTCGATGTTTATCGAATGGACGCACATCAATTGTGCGCCCCTGTTTTAGAAAGTTGACGAGCAGAGCCCCGTCAGCATCCCAAAATGCAACCACTATCACCTTGCCGACTAACTTCACCTTGTTGCACTCATTTGGTGGCTGTTACTCGGTGTGCTTCCGCTTGCGCAACTCGGTCACGCCCTTAGGGTCAACGTGTGACACCCACAACTCCTTTACGGTAACAATATGTTCAAAGTCGTATTGGTGAAGTCGTATTAGAGTACGCACTTAGTGGATTTTTTGCTCTCATTTGTTAAATATTTGAAAGAAAGAAATCGCAAATATAGAAAATCAAAGTTCATTAAATTCGCCATCAACCCATGAGGCAACGATCCTTCAGCGTAAATGGAAGTGGTCTAAAACTGACGTTTTCTGAATCGCTGCTGTTGCGTACTCTTACCACATGAGGTGTGTAAGAGTATGCACACCATGCGGGTGGAGTACGCAAGCATACACTGAAAACAAATCTACTCGTATATGGAGAGTAAAGGTCATTTTACCAGCCGCTAATGAGTTTCAACCGCTGGTTTACTCGTGTATGGAGCATTTCAAGCCCTGAGTTCTGATTTACTCATTACAAAAACTCATACAAAGAAATCAATGACCTGCCATCCATGAGTAAGGCGGCCCCAAACGCATGAAATAATGGTTGTCTGTCAGGAAATGCGAGTTTCTTGACTCATGTATTGCGCGTAATTATCGTACTCACGAATCATGCATTCACTAAATCTGTAGAAAGCGAGTTCTGGAAATGAGTTATGAGTAAATAAAATCACAAATCGTGCGTAAAAAGCGTACTCACAGCCGACCGGTTATCAAACTCGTTTTTGACGTGTTTCTTTACCGATGGATCATAGGCCGCCTCGCCGCCATTTTTGTTCCGGCCGGATCCGTGTGCGCAGGGGAAGTCGCGTGCTGCAAGTTAAGGTGAGTAAATTACCAGATATTTTGCGTTATTAAGGGTATTGTGCGTGGAAAATACCGGAGAATTAAACGACAGCTCTCTTTGCTAACCTACATGCAGGCCTGGGACATTGATATACAGTAAAGGGGCCAGGAAGTCCACATGCGTGACCCCGCGTCCACGTCATACTGCAGTTTAGGTATCAGACTGCCTTTCTTAGCAGCATATAATGAATTTATAGACCACTGTACATCCAGATCCAGGGTCACAGGCAGAATAGCTTATATTATTAATATGCACATAGCCAGGGTCATGCTTGTAGTGGCAAAATTGCATGCCAAAAGCTTCAGTGCATGTCTGCAGCGTAACATCTATAATGTATATGCGCTGAATTAGAAAATGCATCAGGTTTTCAGAGCCTTAACCCTCGCACGACCAGGCCATTTCTCATAACACGAACGACCAGGGGGGGGGGGTAGTTACGACCCCCCCCCCCTGGCGTTTCGAAACGGAAGGTCGTAGAGCTTAGCGGAAAAAACCAACGGATTGCTCTCAACGAGATCTCGCGATTGGTGGTATATTTTTTGGTCCTAGGTCAACATTTGACCTACTTTTGACCGGTCAAAGGTCAAATTTTCGGAAAAATAGACTTTTTTCAACTTTCGGCGGCGATTGCGGCAAAACGGTGGGAGATATCGACTTGAAACCTTCACTATCGTGTTCCTTGATCAATTCTCTATCGTTTGGTATGTATTAGAGTTGCAAAATTTCACTACCGCACTACCGGCATGCCGGTAAATTTTCACTACCGCAGGTTTTTTCGTGGTATTTGGCATGTCCTGCCGGTAGCATGCCGGTATTTTTGATTTTGCACCAAAAAAAATTATCAGCATATGATTCAGAGTCAAACTTTGGACACTAAGAGGCTATTGAATTGTAATAACAGCAATATTAGCCACTGCAAGATACATTTTGTGGTAGAAGTTCCATTGCTAAGGGTAATTGTACACATGAGCCTCAGCATTTCACAGGTTTGGCTCTAATAAGAATTGTCAAGAATCTACTGTGGTCAATCAAAGGAAAAATACTCATTCATGTTGCAAAAGCACAACCAATTAGTAAGTCTAATGGTAGGTAATAGGTATAATACAATAAAATAAATTAATTCTAATGGCAACATTCCCTAGGCAAAAGGCAGAATCAAAACACAAAACACATTGTTTGGAAACTGGCCTTGAGTCCTGAGATGTGGTCTGAGTCTGAGATACTCTACAAAGAATTTGACACTGAAAATCCAGCTGAAAAGGCAGGTGTTAGGTAGCCCTGAGCCTAACTTTGGTCCCAAAATGAAATGAAAATGAATTAAACTGGCATTTTGTCTTATCTTTACAAGAAAACACAACATGCAGACGAAATGAATACAAAGTGGCGCATTGCGCAATATGATCAGCTGATCAAGCAACCAAGGATTGACTTTTAAGATCCTCTGTCCCCTAAAAAAAGGATGTAAGCTGATGACGTAATATTTATTCATATGCCCTTTTGGTTGAATTACTCAAGAGAAGTGGATTTTCTTGTAGTGAATAAAACTCACAGTGTTGATTTTATTGGAATTTAATATTGTGTTGGATGATTTTTATCAATAAAATCATTCACGAGGCAGTAGTTTGCAGTCCTAAAACTTTTTTTGCAGTGTTTTAATCAGCTGGTTAAAAACTGTGTTATGGCGCATCTGTTTCGAAATCCTTTATAACCTTGTGTTTGTTCCACTGAACTGTTTGTTCCCTCGTTTGAGATGGGAGAGGATATTATATCGTTTTATACATATTATTTGGTGAATTCTCAGGACAAGTGAGTTATTAACACATATTCTTACATGATTCATATCTTACTCACGAGCCAACAAGCCATGGCGGATAGGAAAAAGCAGATGTTGATCTCGCTTCCTCAGTTAGGAACATGGCCAAATCTGTAGTTTTTTATATTGTGATTTATGACTAGCTATAGTTCATTTTAGGGTAATGTGGAAAATAAGAACGCTTGTGGTAAATGTGATTGCTGCTCACTGTGCAGTCTTCAGAAACACATTTCAGTAATTCAAGTTCTTTTTTACCTTGATTTTTTGATGAATGTGTTAATGCTTTTTGTAGGCAATACCTTTTTGATTACAGGTGATATTTTAACAGCTGTAAACTGGAATTGAGTTTCAAAATTGTGGTATTTGTGGGGCCAACTCAGCCAAAATCAGGCTGCTGGAGTTTTGGTTGGACAATGGGTGGCTGCTGGGTGGGGCGGTTACTGAAATTGCCAAAATGTGGCATCTCATGTAGGGGTAAGCCAGAATCAAGAATGCAGGTTTTTTAGTATGCCGGTAATTTGGCGGTGTTTTTGCTTGGGGCGTGGTAGCATGCCGGTATCCCAGAAAATTTTTGTGGGGCGGGGCGGTGCCGGTAGCAGCCCATTGGGAAAACTTTGCAACTCTAGTATGTATTTCGTTTCCCTAGCTCTAAAAATGGCGCGTTGGGAGCGCCGGAAGTCGGCAAGGTCACAGTCGGCGGCAGAAATTCGAAAAATCAAAATTTAAATTTTTGAAATCTGATTGTATTTTTGGATTTGGGAGGTCCATTTGCTCCCTATAGAAGCTAATATTGCTGCATATTCCCATTGAGGTGACAAGAATTAGCAAAATAGTGGTTCGGGCGCTTTTCAAAAATAGTACCGGACGCTGTTCCTCTTGTGACGTCATAGCTCCGTGACCTGACCTGACCCGGTCAAATTTCTTATACCATATGATAGCCAATACTTGCCCCAACATGCATGGGAGGTTTCATCACGATCCATCAACCGATGTCCGTACCACCGGCAGGAAACCTCGGGCGTTGGCACTCAGTTTGTGAAAATCCGGCCGGAGGCTGTACCTCTTATGACGTCATAACTCCGTGACCTGACATGACCCGATCAATTTTTTTCGGCAAAAGATGCGCAAAGGTTGCCCCAGAGGGTATTGAAAATTTCAGCCCGCTACGACAAGCCGTTTAGCGTGCACTTCGAAAAAACCTCAGGGGGGGGGGTTGATACAACCCCCCCCCCCCTAGGCGTTCTAGGGTTAAAATTCAGGGTAAAAAAAGAAAATTTTGACCTATTTTGATGGTTTATCACCGCTAAAGACAAAAAGAAAATACCAGTGTACCATCCAAAAGCTACCTGTGACATGCCTATCAGAGGAATACCAAAATGTAAATGCAAACAAATGGCAAAATACATGCAAGTTCACAGGTGCCCAGCTATTATAAAAAATTGCTTTAGGTCGAAGGTGGGTAGGTTGGAATGCTGTGCTTGGTGTCTGGTGAAAAATGATTTTGAAACTGCTTATGGGCTGTTCTCAGATGAAATTTCACCACAAATATTCCTTGTGCACATAACTCGCAGGCTGGCCAGTGTCCATGCCACACTGCAGTTTCCCATGGACGTTAACCCTCGCCCTGGCAAGAGGGGGGGGGGGGGTCGGTGCGACACCCCCCTAAGGTTTTTCGAAGATAGCGTAAAAACGGCAGCGCGCAGCGCCGCCAAATTTGGCACAGCCTATGGGGCAGCCTTGTTACATATGACCTGAAAATATCAGGTCCTGGTTACCTTGGGTCAGGTCACTAGATCAGAAAAACCGTTACAAGGTCATGGTCAAATTTCAATTTTCTTTTTGCACCTGTCCAACTCACAGTTTGGACTGATTTCTTTCAAACTTTCAGGATGTGCTAAGTTCACCGAGTTGTATAACATATTGTTCAGGCTTTTTGATGTCACTGACCTGAGGTCAGTTACAGGTCATTACGTCGTAATGTTAAGCCTATGGGAAAATACTAAATTCGGAAAATACTGGAGATATCCGCTTCGTTCTATCACTTTTGTGCTTTCAAACCACAGTACTTAACAGCAGGTCACTTGGTGCTTCTTTGTTTGGTGTACATATCCATGGGTCAGGTCAAATGAGGTCAACTGAGGTCAAATGACATTTTTGCCAATAACTTGGCAGTTGGCACACAATGACGGTAAAGCTTAAAAAATGGTGTGATTGTGTTTCTGGTGATCAGCCGAATCGAATTATATGGGATATGATGCAAATTTTTGATGCGCTGGAGCTTAATTTACTTAAATTTAAATTTTACTTAAATTAATTTACTAAAATTTACTTAATGATGAAGAAAAAATTTAAGTACCCTTAAGCAAGCAAAAAAGTATATCATTCGACGCGCCTTGACGTGCTGGGTTCACTGGTGTTTTTATTTTTGCTCTATCTTAATAAGATCAAAAGTTATAAGCGAAAACTTTTGACTTGTTTTTAGCGAAATTTTTACATTTACCTATACCCCCAAAACCCCTAAATATTGACCTAGAGCAACCAAATTTACACAGGGCGAGAACTCCAGAGGGCCCACCTACCTATCAAATTTGGTGTTTCTAGGTGCCATAGGAGCCAATCGCGAGGGGGGTCGCATCGACCCCCCACCCTGCCAGGCCGTGCTATGAAAAATGCCCTGCCAGGGCGAGAGTTAAGCTGTTAAAGGTGATTGTTAAGGTGTTAATAGTGAAAGACAAATAGAAATAAACATATGTCATATCATATCACCCAGTGCCGTTCTGTCAAATATCACCGCGTTTTCCACTCCCCCAGTCTCTGGTTTCCTACAGTCCTTCTCCTCCATGAGATCCTACCATGCTACCTTCCATCACCCAAAATCCATCATCCCTTTCCTCTGTATTTACCGAGACAGCAGTGGTGTTGCGTTGCCAAAACAGACACCCTCCCATGTGTTTCCACACCCCTTCCTGAGCTACCTGTACTTTTAAAGTTTTCACAGCTACAAGATCAGCTCCACTTTTCTCATGCATCTTACTAACTACCTGAGCTTCCCCATGCTGCTGCTGCTCATGACATTGCTCTCCTTTTTGCTCACTTTCTCAGGACCACTTCCTGGTCACGAGCCACTATCACTAGCATCCCCACAAGTTCCTATTTCAACTCCATCTACCCTTTCCCCTCTACAAGACACTTTGACAAAAGTTCCTCCAGCTCAGCAACCCTGGCCTACAGTACTTGAATCCTAGTCATATTCATGTCTAGGTCAGTACCTATCACTCAACTAAAAACCTTTTCAACGATTCCTTATAACTAGGTATAAAGATCTTTTTTTTTTCTTTTTTGAAGGTGGATAACTAACTAGGTATTAAGCCAGCAAAAAACTGCCTCACAATTAGCGCACGGACTTAAGGTAACTTAATATCTGCCCTTTATCAATAACCTAAGAAAACTGCTTTGCCCTGAAAAAACGAGCCTCAAATTCACTTAATTTTCCCAGATCTAACTCAACTAACCAGCAATCTAAATGTTCCGCAGTGCCTTTTGAACGTGACACCAAGACACATATTTTTGCATGTTAGGTAGACAGACATGCTTTAAATTTTAATGCCCGCTTTTCAAACAAACCAGTAGAACGTATTGCAGCAAAATTAAACATTAGGAGTTGCAAAATCAGATGACATTTTCTCCCAGCACCGGTGCATTAGTTTGCTCTCAGGAAACTCTGTTCAAAATAGAATGGCTGACCGTAACTGTGTATTGTGGCGTACATTAACCCTCTAATGCCCACACATAGTTCCACGGTTCCTAAAATTAGCACCTTGTGACATATGATTCATTTTGGGTCCCTTGTTCGAAATCTGGAGTCAAATATTTTTTCGCAGTTCAAATTTCGGAAATAAATTTTGTATCAAATATGATACATTGGGCATTCCACTTGGTAATTTTTAGTGGTATCAGACCACTCAGAAGGAAGTGAAGACATAGATGAGAAAATATATATTATTAAAAATTTCAGTGATAAAAGTGGCAGTTAAAATGTGTAAAATGCCAACAAGACATCCCTACTGTGCACTTTTTATCAGAGCATTTTCTTAATAATTCATTGGCATCCTTCTTGTATCAAAATGTCCTTTCACTCGGTGCTTAGGGAACAACGCTAATCATAGGCATCTATTTACGAGTGCCTTCTATTCCTTCATTTTCCACGATACAGCGCGTTGCACTTGTGCAATTTTTTCATAATTCAGACATGTGGGCCGTGCTTCTCAAACGTAGATGCGTTATGCATACTTGATATAGAAATGAAGACATTACAGTTGGCTCGCGGTAAGTGGTTGAAGTGAAGCAGTTCTGATGCAAAATGCTGTACAGGCTGCCGACGGACCGGGATCAATGCCATATATCAAAGACGATGTTGGTTTTTCTTCATGATAGCCGGACAATCTCGGGTGACTGAAACTCTCAGCCTGTGAATCGTCAGTTAGCACTTTGACTGGTCGTGCGGTCCTGATGTCATCGGCGTCAGTACAACAGCCGCGCACTGACCAGTGCAATAACCGTTGTACGTGTCAGACAACAAAGGTACAGGTAACTGTGCACCGATCGACAGGAACTTGCACAATATTCATTGACCTCATATGGAGGTGAGCATACGCATTACGCAATGCCGCACTTAAACTTTTATTCTTATGGTCAGTACAAAAGTAGTATCCATGTTTTAGTACCTATAAATCCTTTTTGTTCAGTGGCACTCAGCTACCACAGTTGGCGGTATATGTCAATATATGACAACAAATGACATACCTGGCAGTGAAAATGCTTGCCAGGTGTCAGGCACCTGTTGGATCCTGGCAGCAGTGCATGGTTGCCTACTTCTTAGAAAGGAAATCAAAGGAACCACGCCCTTCGGTCTGGAGTCTGTCTTCATGGCGAGCCCGTTTAGCCAGCTTCCTCTGAAGATGACGATATAGTTTTCCACTCCACATTCAATCTCTTAATACTGGGATGAACGGAGGAGATTTGAATCGCAAACAAATTGTGAGTCGTTCTCCATTTATGAATGAAAAATGCTGGCTGCTAATGCAAATCTTCAGCCATGCCCAGCTAACACATAGACCCACAAGACATAAATAAGCCCGTCCACAACCCCTGTTGGAATATCGAAATTGTGCAAGAGACCGCTGAATCCTCCTGTCCCTAACATCAAGTCTCAATTTTTTGTTTCCGAGTATAAATACTCGCACGGATGATCGTTCCTTGAAATCAACAAGCTTGTCATCGATAGCATGTCATTCCTAACGTGGTTTTAGAAGATATGGTCTGCTAGTGTCCTGCAGATCAAAAAGTTCACTATTGTCATCGTCAAACAGTTGCAAAACCATATTCCTATGAGCGTTAGAAAAGTCGAGATGTATGAGGCATGTAAGGCCACTCATAGAAAGCGATGTTGGAAGATTGACAAGGATGAGAGGCGGCATAATCGTACCAATATCGTTATGACATTTTAAGTCTGGAGCGAAATAAAGTTATCTGGCGCAAGAGGTGCGAACTTCACAAATTTATGCATCTTGTACCCTCGTCATTTGCAATGACTCACAGGCCATTGCAATGCTTATCACCTGAGAAAACTATGGTATTGGCACACCGTATGTTGCATCGGCGAAAATTTCATAGAAAATATTGGAGTGCTATGCCCACTGTATCATATCTAGTATCCCCAAAAATAGGGGTCCATATCTTTGACCCTGAAAAAGTTGCGATGTTTTGCAACATACTATGATATATGTTGAACATTTGTCTCACAGTATACCAAGTTTCTTTCCAAATAACTAATTTTTTGTTTTCTAAATGCTTAAATTTACACTTGTATCTCAAATTGATTTTCGGCAAAGGACAAACTGACCCTCTTTAAAATCACCTGGTGGGAAACTGAGAAATCATTACTTAAAAATTTTGCCACCAGGTGGTTGCCAAGACGTACCACTTCTGATACAGCAGGGTTTTCAACAATTTTCACCTCTATGATTAGCAGGCGAATTTTCTGCAAATTGACTTACAGATATGATACCGGGGGCACTAGAGGGTTAATAACATCCATTTGTTTGTTATTCAGAGTCCCAGCACTACTGTCGATGCGGAGGTCACGGCCGCCACCGCCGACCCCGGCGAGGGCACCAGCGCGCGCGAGCGGGCCGCCGGCGATGGACATTGAGGAGAGCTGGCTCGTTATCGGTGAGTATAGAGAGTGAATGTTCATTTGAATGAATACGCGGCTTCGCTCCGCTCAGCCTCCGTCTGAATAATACGAGTATGTTGCCCTGCCCGTCGTCAAGGACGTTGTCCGGCCCTCTGCTAAATTCAATTTATTTAGCAGCATTTATGGACTTTGTGAACATTTGTGAGCGTTGCATGTTTGGAAATGTAGGTACTTGCCCTAGGGCTGGTAATTTAATTATACCAGTATAACGCCTTTTGGGGCGACTAACGGAGCGAGCGAGAGGGTGGGCCTTGCACGTGCGAAATTTCGAGGGGGTACCTCCAACTGACTTGTGCACGGCACCTTACTAACCGGTCTCTAGCGATGTGCCAAATTTGAGCACAATCGGCCCAGCCGTTCTCGAGATCTGAAAGCGGCACCCTGCACGTGCGCACGTGCAAAATGGGCCCCAACTGACTTGTGCACGGCATCCTACTAACTGGTCCCTAACCGTGTACCAAATTTGAGCGCCATCGGTCCAGCCGTTCTCGAGATCTGGAAACGACCCCTGCACGTGCGCACGTGCAGCAGCACCCCAACTCTGGCACATGGATATGCAGTGCCTAGTGGGTGCCCACCTACATGCCAACTTTCAGCGCAACCGGCCAAGTAGTTACCGAGATATTGCAACAATTACAAAACTGACACCTCTTCGTTTTGCACGTGGCACGTGCATAAGGGGTCACCCACGTGCATCGGGAATAGTCCAATACTTGGTAGAAGGAATGAAGCTACCCTACAAAAATTACCGCGTGTAAATCGGTCAAGTGGTTGCTAAGATATAAGCCTCGCAAAAGCGTCCGCACGGCCGGCCGCTCATACTCAGAAATTTCCGTTAATCTAAGGAAAGACTCCGCTCGCTTCGCTCGCTCCGTAATAACCTCGTATTTTATCGAAATACCTCGGATCTAGTGACCCTCGGAACTTCGGCAAAAACTCGGTGACATAATTAAATTGTCCCCAGCCCCGGGTGTGTATATTTTCTTTTCTGCTCTCAAAGTTCCTGTTTTTTTTTCACCTGACGGCTCGGGATAAAACCGTTACATCGCTCGAGAGTAAAATATGCGTTAATCGACCCGAATCAACTTGCTCGGGATATAACCATTAATAATATCGGAAATATTTGTTCTCGTTGCAGACGATGCAGTCGACCACCTGCTGCACCGCGCTGGCGAGCACAGAGCTGTGTTTCAGCCATCCCCAGTACCCATGGCCGCAAGTTCGAGCTGGCATGCTCTACGTGGAGAATGAGACGGTTGTCGAGTTCAAAGAGCTTACCTCGGCGGTCGACTTAAGTGACCAGCTGCCGGGACAGAGACTGACCGGCAGAGTTCTGTTGGTGCCTCATACTTTTCTCTGTTTGTTTCTGTTTTCTGTTCCGCAAGTTTTTGCCATTGTAACTAGTTGCAGTTGAATTAGCTTGTTGCAGTTCGTTTATATTTTGCTGCAGGGTGTCCCTGAACCGTAAAGAGACGTGAAACGTTGGACGCTAATGAATGAGATACAAGGTACTTTGATATGTAAAGCACAGGCAGAGCTTTGGAGTCGGAAATGTATCAGTTAACCAAACAATTGAAACTGTGTTTGCGTATTAAATGACTATTGAAACTGCGTCTTTTACATGCTGGTTGCACGACCTTTCTATAGAATACGAAATAACATAATCGCACATAAGACTGTGAAATAGAAGCTGCTTGGTATAATAGGTCCGTCTGCTCCTTATGATGGGTTCCTATAGCTGGTCTGGTCTTGCAACCAGCTATGATCATTGAGCGTTACCGTCCATAATAGGTTGTCCAGCTCGCTTGTTCGTATGTGCATGAAATACAGATTTAACTTTGCTGTTCTCTTGACTTGTCATTCGTTCTAAACAGTACAAAATGAGCGCAAGGTTATTATTTTGTCAATTTTATGTCGCCCATGGCATGACAATAGGTATCCACGCACTTGTCGCTTTACAGAACATTTGATGTCTTGTTGATTGTTCCTATAAAACGACCACGTTTCTGTGTTCGGTGTCATTGCTCGGTGTTAGTATTACGGATAGTATGTATATGGTCTTGTTGGATGTTCTTCCTCGTCTTGCATGCTATTTTGCACACGAAATAACACGCAAAATGGGAATGAAAATCTGATAAGTCGCGTTATCCGTAATATTAACAGCGGAAAATCTACTCATCTCCTGCCGGTCAACCTTACCTATGACTGTTGAGTAGGTTGACTGGTAAGAGGTGAGTAGATTGACCGGTCGCTGGCGCAGTCAATAAGTGGTGTCCATAAAACCGCCCATCCATTAGTAAATTAACTCACAGAATGAGAGTAACGGAAATGAGTAACCAGCGATACATGAGTTTTCACAATGAGTAAGGTGAGTAGATTGACCGGTCGCTGGCGCAGTCAAATAGGTGGTGTCCATAAAACCGCCCATCCATGAGTAAATTAACTCACAGAATGAGAGTAACGGAAATGAGTAACCAGCGATACATGAGTTTTCACAATGAGTTAACTCATCGAGCGTGGGTAAATATGCATGAGTAAGCGCACGTTTCATCGGAAAGTTGACCGGCAAGTGATGAGTTGATTAACCGGTCGCTGGGGCCGTCAAATAGGTGGTGTCCATATAACCGCTCTTCCGTGAGTTTACTCACGAGAGAAGAGTAGATTTGTTTTCAGTGTATAAACACACACCTATAGGCAGCTTTTACTGTCCAAATGCCTAACATCAAACTCAGAAAACATTTAATTTAATTCTAGTATCAAAAAAGAAAAACATAAAATAAATTTTGCATATCTATAAATCAAGAAATAATCAAGTCTTGTGACTCTAAAAATGTACAATCAAAAGGGAAAATAAATCGTATTTAGGAGAATTTCGGGTACGCATCTGCCTCACGCATCACGCATCTCCATTGATGACATACCTACAAAACAAACGTCATTGAGCGATATATCAATAACTTGATATTTCTGTATATTCGATATAATGTATAATTCTGCGTACTCTTACCCTCATGAACAGTGCGTACTCTTACCCTCCATGCAATTCGCGCACAAAACAACCCCGAAACATTGTGCAAAACTTCACAAACAGAATATTGCACTGCACAGTATTTCCCCAGAAAACCTCTCAAGTTTCCCACAGTAATCACAAAAATGTACCTTATCTCCAATGCCAAGTATCAAAATTATTATACCATACCATAATAATATCATAACGCTCCAGAATAATATTCATCGCCTTAAACTCAACAGCGTCGCCGCACAACGCCCACGTTCCGTTGGTGACAAACACGCACTGGCGGCTTCATATCACTTCATGAACTCGACAAACCTGCGTTGCTAGGCAACCGAAACAGCTGATGCGTACTCTTATCGCCCGCGTCCTCTTACCCGCCCTTACCCTATCTTCTAAATCTTCGATAAAGGGGCCAACAATTTCGCGCTGAGCCTCCTTTCGAGCTTGCCTTTTCTCTGCAGAGTCAGCAAAGGGGGATACATCTGGCAGAGATCCTAAACATTCTAAGACGCTAATGAATTCCTTTGGGGAATCCGATGCTTCTGCACTGCGTGCTTCCAGACAAGAAACATTTGCCATTTTTCAAAAAAAAAGTGCTCATATTTCATATTTTCTTGAGTCATAGATAACATGATAGATTCATGTTATCTATATGCTTGAGTCAATGCTGTTGATGGCTGGTCACTGCGGGGGTCACCTTCAATGATCTGTTGATCAAAATTCGCTAGGATACCCACTATTTGACGCTGCTGTACACTATTTGGCGCTGCTGCTGTAAGAAAGACAAACCTCGACATGTGTTGTCAGTTGTCACTAACTTTTCGTGAATAACGCTTTGTGCCTTTTCTGCAGTACCTACTATGAACTGAATCACTGCTCTCTTCTGAGCGTTGCCTATACTATCCGAAATGGCTAACTATGCTACGATTAATTAGCAGCCCGAATCAATCACAGAACAGACTTAACCCTCGCCGGACCTATTGGTTTTCTACATACGCGCCGGCCGAGGGGGGGGGGGGGCGGGCGGGTACGACCCCCCTCGCCGTTTCTCCCCTGGTGGAGCTAGCGCGTCGCGGAAAAAACGAGCATGTGCGCCGTTACGAGACGCAGAGATTGCTACCCGATTTTAAGGTCCTAGGTCAACCGGTGACCTCTGAGGTCAGGTCAAGTGCCCCAGGTACGGTTCAGTTTTTGGTGAATAACTTCGCAAAAACGGCCGCAATGCCGCGATTTTGGCAGCATCGTGTTCGCCTTCCTCACGCGCGTCGAATGATATACTTTTTGTTTGGGTCAGGTCAACTTAGGGTGTTGACCTCAGGTCACGGTCAGGCCAGCGCCCCCAGGTCACGAAGTTGGTCGAAAGAGGTCATGTCGCATATCATTCGATTCGGCAGGTCTTCCTGAGTCCATTGGTGGCTTTCCCGACTCGCTAGCTCAATTTGATCGGGAGTTATTGACGAAAAAACTAATATGAACTTGATGACGTCATTAATGACGTCACACAAGGTCAATATTGCAAAAGTGACGCATCTAACCTTGCAAGGAGTGCATCAAATCACGATTTTATGTGCTTGAGATAGTTGGAGATCGTTCCCGGCGCCAGAACAGCAGTTTTTATTTTTCCCTATTGACTTATAATGGTGAGGTCACGAAAATGACCTGACCTCATATGACCTTAACGAAAAATCCAAGATATACAAGTTGTGAGACTCGTAATGGATACTAGATCCTGCAAGTTTCATTTCCCTGTGACAGCTTCTCTGGCAGTGAGGGCGTTACGAAGTTACGACATCTGAAGACCGTGCAGAGGTTCACTTATGACGTCATAGCCCGAAAATGCGGTTGGTGTCAAAAGATCCGGCTTGAATCAAAGGTCAGGTATGACAAGTGTCAGCTCTCTATCGCCAGCGTGTTCGGAGCTATCGCGAAAAAAAAAACCCTATGGGGGGGGGGGCGGCACCCGCCCCTCCCCTCGGCCGGCGAGGGTTAATGGATACGTAAGTGGACATCCCAATAACACATCATTAAACACATCGCCTTGCAGGCCGAAATTCCAAGTCCTTCATTGTTCGGCCCGAAAGTTTTTTTGAACGCCCCTGGTAGATTATGAGCTTGAGTTTTCAGGATCTGATGCGGAAATGACCTGGCGTTGGACCCTCGGGAATCAGGCTGTATCACCCACTCAAATCAATATACCTATGGCCTATTTTGGAGCATCGCGGCACCTCCCGAAGTCGGGGTAGGGCCTCCAGCGGCTGGTGCGGAGACGGATCGGGGTCTATTAGGGGCGGTCGCGTGGTGTGCGGCACTCAAGAGGCAGTCATGGACCTCTATAACCAATTGCTTTTTCGAACCTCTTAGAATCCACCAAGAACCCGGAGTCCAAGACACGACACCTCATTGTGCACCTAAATGCACCTATTGTGGCTAAAACCTTACATATCAACATATGTGATTATTTGCTGTCTGTTTATTTTGATTTTTTATCAACTGATAAGTAACAAAAAATGGTAGGGCCCAGCGAACATTGGTAGGGCCCAAATAAACATAGGTAGGGCTCGGGCCCTACCAGGCCTATAACGACGCCCCTGGATTCAAGGTAACTTGTCATATGTTCAGTCTACTCAACCACCAAGAAAAAGATAAAATTATTTTTAACCCTATTCCTGGCGGGGGGGCCTCAGGAGCCCCCCCTGAGGTTTTTGGGTTATTTCTCCCAAACGCGTTGAGCTAGGAAGCTCAAATTTTCTGACTTTTCCTAAAAGGCTTCTACGCAACATGTCTGAAAATTTTGAGTTGATCTGACCTCAGGTCAGGTCACCAGAGGCGGTTTGGTGACCCTACCTCAGAAAAGTTTGCAATCACGCCAGAGCTAGAGTTTTTGACCGATCAATTTCTTCTCTTCAGGGTTTAGTTAGGGTACCAGTAACATCAACATCTCATTTTAGTCTGGGTTCTTCCGTAATGTATATCTAGTGCACACTGCACATAGACTTCAGTTCAGCTTCCTATAAGTTTGCTTTCAGGTTCTTTTATGTTTTATGGAATGCTTTCATCAGCATTTATTTATGCTTTGTAGTTTGTTGTTTGTACCCTGGTTTGGTCATTGCTAGACTGTGGATGCTATTGCTGGTTGTTTTCAGTTTTGCATTTGAAATGTGCTTCCTTGATATATTTTTATATTTGGTTCTGTTTTAAAAGTTGTTTTGATGAATATTGTATTGTTAACCCGGCAGTTGCTGGGGTATTTCGCCACCCACCGTTTGCTGGGGGGGGGGGGGGGCGTTAAACGCCCCCAGCCGATAACTCGAGAACCAATAGGCGCAGCGAAACGCACGAGGCGGCAAACGAAAGAACGCGACGAGACGCTTCAGATGAGCACTTTAAAATTGAATTTTGAGGTCACAGGTCGGGTCAAGGTCAGGTCAAACACCTGAAATCGGGCTTTCAGTAGCATGGACTTCAGGACTTCGCAATGGGCGCCTCTCGTCATAAACTCTGCCAAAACGGTGCACAATCCATCATATCAGGCCTACAAGAGTGTCAGCTCTATGTAGGGGTCAGTCAAGCATAGGTCAGGGTCAAGGTCAGGTCAACCGGGTAGGGACATATCCCCGAAAATCAAAACTGATATTCTCAGCCTGTGACACATGTTTTATGGGTAATTTGGGGCGTAGAACACGATGGTGACATTCATTTTGTCATATGTGTACGTGTTTGGCTCAAAAAGTTCAATTTAAGAAATGCATGTATCATGGTCGTGAAGTAGTCACGAGAAATTGCCAAGATTCAGTTCAAGATTTTGGAAAATGCGGATCGATAATCAATAATCGAAGATAGCCATTTGATTGTTCATGGTATTGGCAGTCTAATGGCTTTTACGGCATGTCTGTATGTCTATTCTGTGATTTTATATGATTTTTTGAACATATGCCGTTTTTGGTCGAAAAGTCAGAAATCATGACGTCACTAAAATCTCGATATCTCAAAAAATTTCAAACCGATTTTTTTGAAACTTTGTCACAATAAACTTCAATTAATTCCCTACAGGTACCGAAAATTTGGCGCGCCTGCGGCGCGCCGTTTTTATGCTATGGCCCGGCGAAAAAAGTGGGGGCGTTTAACGCCCCCCCCCAGCAACTCGCGGGTTAACCTGAGCAAATGCACTTGGCATTGTGTTTTGCATCTAAAAAAAAAAATATAGGTTCTAAAGTCTGACCGCCAAATACCCGCCACACGACAAGTTTTGCTTCTCGAACCCGCCAAAAACCCTGCGGGTTTTGAAAACCCGCAGAAAGCGGGTTTGCGGGTTCAAAAAGGGCATCTCTAGTCAGGTGGCCTACCATTTCTGTTATTTTTTTAAAGAAAAAAAAAACTATCGTTATCAGGGCTATGACGAAAAATAAGTGGCCTAAATCCAATGAGAAAACAGGATTTGGGGGTACCCTAGGTTTGGCTCCGTGACCTGGTATGCCCCCCCCCCGCGCTGAAACCCTGGATCCGCCAGTGTCCAGACTTTATTTACACATTTACTGATGATTTTGCCAAATAGCATATACTTTGTCTAAACATGAATGCTGCTCACTCCCAGTATCATGACTTAACCCTATTCCTGGCGGGCTCCGCCGGGACAAGAAACTGGCGGGGGGGGCCGATTCGGCCCCCCCCCCCTGAGATCTCGAGAACGAAGCAAGATAGCGACAAGCGGTAAACGGCATCGGATATGCACGGCCAAGATCTACAATTTTTACAAAGGTCATTTTCA